ACTGTCTCTGTGTGCACAGCAAGGGAGTAACCTAAAGCCATTCTTTCAACATTAGCTATGTTATTTGAATATTTCATCTTCACATAGTTTAATGAAAACATATCAATTAATCTGACTATTCAGCTCAGTTGAATTTTCCATTAACTATGAAAAAAGAATCTCCCCTGAACCTTAGGTGATGCCATGTTATTTCAGATCTTCTCAAACAGTGACTAAGGGGAACCTGATCAATATTTTAGATGTCTGTACACAAAGGCAAGGAATATGGTGAATAAACAAGAAGAACTGGAAATATTAGTTCATACACTAAATCATTATTCAATTGGCAATTGACCTGATTTAGGAAAGTTAGGAAAGTAATATGGATAAAAACAAAATTTCCAGTATGTTCTTAGAATATACTGGAGACAGCTTTTTGTTCTAGAAAGTAGAGTAAATGAGCAGAGGGCAACCATTTTAGATTTGATTCTAACACGAAGGAGTTTGTTATGAATCTGAAGGTAGAAAGCAATTTGGGTGGCAGTGATCATGAAATGATAGATTTCATGATTTTAAGGGTAGGCAGGAGTGAAAGCAGCAGCAGAAGGAAAATGGATTTCCATAATGCAGACGTTCAACTCCTAGACTTGGTAGGTAAGATCCCATGGGAAGAAAATCTAAGGAAAAGAAGTTCAAGAGAGCTGGCAGTTCCTCAAGAAGACAATGTTAAAAGCACAACTGCAAACTATTCTGATACAATGGAAAGAAAGGAAGAGATCAGTATGGCTCCACCAGGCACTCTTAATAACCTGAAATAGGAACAGACTCCTACAAAAAAAAAAGATTGTCAAATTGATAAGGATGAGTATAAAAGAACAGAAAAATATGTAGGAAAAAATCAGCAAGGCTACAACACAAAATGGATTATACCCGGTAAAGGTCATAAACATGATGGTGGCAGAACCCCCTGGCCTGGTGGGGGAACCCCTGGCTCCTCAATTCTGCCACTTATATCCAATGCCCTGACTCTTCCATGCTGCTGGAGCCCAGATCCTGCTTTGTCCAGTGGCCCCTGCCACAGGGTATCAACCTCAGCCCCAAAGGTGCTGGAAAGCCAAGCAGAGTGACCACAACTTCCCCATCTGAGACCCAGGTATCATGGTGCCAGCCTCTCCCACAGCACCAGAGTGCAACTTGGTTGGGAAACATGGTCCCTGCCTTCCCCAGCAACACATTCCTAGCCAACCCACCATGAAGCCTGCATCCATAACCAAGCTGCCAGGTCCACACTGAGCAGGTGGCATGGCCTGATCGCCCCAAGTATTGGACAGCCAGTGCATTCCCAGCACCAGCAGGACAGGAAGAGCAGAGTGGCCCCTAGCATACCTGCCCAAACCTCTAGCATGGGAACAGCAGGCAGGAGTAGAGTTAAAGGTGAAGTATGGGTGGGGCCACATCAAACAGTATGGGAAGGCAGAGACTTCCCATGCCCAGGATACCCACAACTCATGCTGATAAAGATAGTAAATACATGAGGAGCAAAAGAAAGACAAAGAAAAACATAGATTCTTTGCTTCAGGGGGATGGAGAACTAATAACTGATGACATCAAGAAAATTGAGGTGCTTAATATCAATTTTGCCTCAGTTTTCCCACAAAGAGTTGTTAATGACCACATACTCAGCATAATTAATATGCACAACTGGGGGAAGCAATGCAAGCGAAAATCGGGGAAAACAAGTTAAAGAATATTTAGATCATTTCAAGTCAGCAATGAAATTAATCCTAGGATACTGAAGAAAATATCCATAGCAGTCTCATTACCAGTTATCTTTTTGAGAAATTCTGAAAGACAGGATAGGTGCCAAAAGGCTGAAGAAGAGGAAACATAAGACCTATCTTTACAAATGGGAACAAGGAGATTCCGAGGAATTATAGACCAGTCAGCCTAAATTCAATATCTGGAAAGATATTGGGGCAAATTATTAAACTACTAGCATCTGTAGGATAGTAGGACTAAAAGGAATAGCCAACATGGATTTACCAAGAATAGATGTCATACCAACTTAATTTGCTTTTTTGATGGGGTTACCATCTATATAGGATAGAAACAGTAGGTGTAATATACTGTGATTTTTAGTAAGGCTTTTGACACTGTTCTATATAACATTCTCTTAAGTAAACTAGAGAATGTACCCTAGATCAGTGTTTCTCAATCTTTTTTTTTTATAAAGTAACCCTTTAAAAAAAAAAAAAGTACCCCCAGTACCTACAGTTTTCAGACACACACAATTTTTTTCTACGTCCCTTGGTTAGGTGTAGTACTGCTGAAAAGGATGTGGGGGTTATAGTTAACCACAAACTGAAAATAGTCATCGATATAATTCAGCTGCAAAAAAGGCGAATATAATTCTGGGGTATATTAACAAGTGGTGTATGTAAAACACGGGAGGTAATTGTACCTTTCTAGTTGGCACTGTTGAGGCCCTAGCTTGAATACCATGTCCACCTATGGGCACCATAATTTAGGAAAGATGTGGACAGATTGGAAAGCATTCAGAGGAAGGCAACACAAATGATGATGAAACCTTTAGAAAACCTGACCTCTGAGGAAAAATTGACAAAACTGTGCATGTGAAAAATGAAGAATGAGGGGAGACTTGGTAAGTCTTCCAATATCGTAAAAAACTTCTATAGAGAGGACAGTTATCCATTGTTCTCCATATCCCCTGAGGGTAGCCCAAGAAGGAAGGGGGTTAATCTTCAACATAGGAGATTTAAGTTAGATATAGGAAAAACTTTCTAACTATAAGGGTAGTTAAACTCTGGAATAAGCTTCCAAGGGAGTCATGGAGTCCCAAATACTAGACATTTTTAAAAACAAGTTGGATAAACAACTGTCAGGGATGCTGATTTATTTGGCCCTGCCACATTGTAGGAGGCTAGATGGGATGACTTCTTGAGGTAATTCATCCTATAAAACTCTTGGCTTTATATTATTCAGACCTAGGTCTTTTTCTGCTGTGACAAGAATAAAATAAACTAGTATGGTCCAGAGGTTCATGATAACTTGACCTAGTTTATTCAGACAAAAATGAATACAGTAATTATTAGTCTCATTTATATTGCCATGGTACCTAGAAGCCATGCAAGTGACAATCCCATTGTGCTAGGCACTATACAAACATATAGAAAATGACACTATCTGGTCCAAAGAGCATACAGACTTAAACAGGCCAGAACAAACAAGCCAGTTAGTTTAGAGGGGGTGGGGGGGAGGGGAAGAGGGAGACAAAAATACAGAAAGTGTATAAATCTCTCTTTCTACCTCTGTGGCTTCTTTAATATCGTATGAAACTCTTCACGAAGGGTGCGTCCACCCTACAATCAGAAGTGTGATTTGCAGCTCTTGTAGGTCTACCCACTCTAGCTTTAATTGAGCTAGCATGACTATGACTACACAAGCTGTGACTCTCATCCCCAATTTCAATGAAAACATTCCTCAATATGCAAAGTTTCAGCAGTGTAGTCAAATTCCCAAGATGTGTCTTCAGTCTACTGAATTGGCTAGCTAGACAATGCTGTTCCGAAATATAATATGGGATTTAGTAATAATACACAAACTTGCAAAATACAGTGATTTAAAGTTTCAAATATGTAGAAATTTCATTATTAGCCACCTGATAGCCATAACCTCAAGTGAATCCACAGACAAAATAAGTATTCCTAAATTAGAAAGTTATCAAACATACTGCCATACTATTTCACAATCACATTTCAACTTGAACTTAAAATGCATTTGCTTTTCATACCCCTTTTTTGTTCACTTTTTCTAGACATTAACATGATCAAGTTTTAGACATACAAATAGTCACAGTAAGAAAATTTCAAGCATTCGCAGATACCAAAGTGCAAAGTTGTGATGAAGAAGTTATTCTGGGAATATTAAGACTTGGCCATTTGGAAAACAATTTTTTCTGTCCCCTGTTAGTGCTATTGTGCACTTGTGAAAGCTGTGCTCATGGCAGTGAGTCACCTTGTTATCCGGTACCACCCAGCAAGAGAGGGAGACATGCTGATATATAACTGGGTGTCAGCTTCCTGACATTTCATCTGTTAGCCAAAAGGAGATTGTTTGGGTGCTATGTGAGCTGTCACTTTGCCTTGCAAGTTAACAAAAGGGCGCCCCAGTCCCAGTTACAGAACAATGACCCAGCTGACACTAATAAGCCTCCATGTCACAGTGCTAATGACCAACACAGATAATTATTGTATTATATATAGGGCAATGCATAATGTAGGAGGATGGCAGGTTCCCTAAATTCCTCCATAAAATCTCTTGCACAAAGTCTGTTCAATGAGCTAAACTAAATCCTTTCCAAGCAGGACCCTTGCATGTTCACACACACTCACATTAACATTTGCTTTGAGATAGTGATAAAATGTTGCAGAGTAGGACATGCAACACAGTTTCTGGTGGAGACATTGCCTTAGACGAGTGTTTCTTAACCAGGGTACAAGTACCCTTAGAGATACTCGAGAGAAGTCTGGGAGGTATGTCAACACAACTGAAATTTGGAGACAACTGAATTTTTGTTTTAAGTTTTACAGCTTTTTATTATGTTTATACTTTTTACACCCCAAAATTTCATTGCCCGCCTGGCTACAATTAAGTTGCTTAAATAAATTTTGCAATGGTAAAAAAAAAAAATTGTGTGTCTGAAAACTGTAGGTATTGGGGATACTTATAATTTTTAAAGGGGTATTTTTTTTAAAAAAAAATTGAGAAACACTGCCTTAGACAACCAAGACCCAGCAGAGAAATTCAGTCATTTCCAATACTACAGCAGCAGGTGGCAGCAGAAGCAGAGACCTGGACTCAGGAACTCAAGCTTCCACCATAGAGAGATTCTTGCTGGGACAGCTGAAATTCTGAGGATGCTGACCAAGGTGACAGCTGTAAATAAAATTCAGTGTTTATACTGATTATGACATTGGAGTGATTGCTGGGTAAATTCTTACCTTTGCAAAGGCTGTAGGCGGGGTCTCATTGCCAGGCTAGTGTGTGAGTCCAGCTGCCCGTCATAGCAATGGAAATTCCAATATGGCATATTGTCTATATGCAATGATGAAACATTGACATTTAAATGAATCTAGTTTAAATGCTCTGCATTCACATTGTAAATGTCATAGCAGCCTAATGTTGATGGGATATTTCTGAAAATAAAAAGCTTTACGTTTTCCCAAATTCTTATCTAGGTCATACTCATCCATAAGGCAATCTGAACTTTACCAGGTTATATAACAAACCAACAAAGCTTAAATTTTGCATCTTGCCTTCTGAATACCTTGTTATACAACAAGTTTTAAAAGAGAAGAGTCCATATAAATTCAAGCAATGAATGGACACATTTGAGGAAATTGCACTGTACGTGCAGCTATCATCATCAAATAGAGACAACTGTCACAAATGAATTATTAATTCTGAACTATTATTTGGCTATAATTTTTAGAAGAGTCCTTTGACTGAAAATATAAGTAACGTTTGTCTCCTGTTTTTAAAGCTTCACTGAAAATATTCTCTCATCTTTGCTTGAAAGGCTTGTTGAGATGTAGATTTTCTACTCATAAGGCAAGTAAAACCTTGAATACATATGGAGGAAACTTTTTTGTTTTTATTTCAGTCTGTACACAAGCATATAAGTTCCCTTCTTCAACTCCCAGGTATATAAAACATTTTGATACTCGCACATCCCATAATTTGTTGTTTGGTCTGACAATATGCACAGATTACATATCTCTATATACCATGATGTACTGCTAACAATCATAAAATTATGGGGAAAATACCAGTTCCTATTTTTTCACTTGAATAAAAAAGTACAATGCAAAATACAACTATATAGTAGCATTGCCATTCAGCACAGAATGAGTATAACAGAGTTTGCCCTTTCCTAGTCTGATCCAAGACAGTTACAGGCACATGCGTTGCTACTGCCATAAATACTGGCCTGGCTTGCACTTTAGTGCTATGAACTGTAAAACAGATACCACTTTAAACTTTCATTGACAGTGATCAGGACCAAATACAAGACATTTTTGGGGAATGAGTTAAAGGCCATTTGGCCCATCACAGCTCATTCCTATGCACTCACTCTATTTCCATCTCTCTCTGTCTGGACACCACCTAATTGTTTTTTGTTTTTCGTGGAATGAGGAGTAACGGTAGTTCGAACTAGGAAGCCTAGTTCAAACTACCTAGTTCGTGCCCCGTGTAGCCGCGCTGCACGGGGTTTGAACGAGTGGGGTTTTAAAAATGGTGGCGCCCCGCTTATGCAAATGAAGCCCGGGAAATTTAAATCCCGGGCTTCATTTGCAAGTGCAGTATGCCTACATTACCCTCCTAGTTCGAACTAGGAGGGTAGTGTAGACATACCCTGATATCCTTATCTATCTCTCCTTGGTTGTCTGCTTTAGTTTCCTAAGGGCTATGTCTACACTGCACTGTGGTTTGAAATAAGATATGAAATTTGAGCTACACAAATTGTGTATGTTATTTCGATCTTATTTTGAAATAGCTGGTTTCATAATTTGGTGCTGTTTACAAAATGCCAAATTTTGAAATAACACGCCATTCCAAAATCCCTTACTCCTCATGAAACTAGGTTTATAGGGACGTTGGATTAGTGAACCTAAAATTACAGACTTGATGTGAAGATGCGGGATAACTATTTTGGGATACCCTGGTATATTGAAATAGCATTGCAGTGTAGACATAGCCCTATTGAAGCCACACCCTTCTCTTCTCCTCTGTCAGTTATACCAGTTCCATCCTCTCATTTGTCAGCTTCTTCCAAACCATGTCCTTTATGCATGAAATGCAATCCCTGAACTACAGTGTAATGGTTCTCTTCTTCAACTCTCTCCTCAGGACCTACTCTATCATAGTTATGAAAAATCCAATCTTCAGCAATTGTTTTGTTGTGTGATGCTCACTGTTATCCAATCTTAAATGGAAACCACTAGAACTTTCATCTTGTATGATTAAATGATGAAGCAATGTGATCTTACGTTTATCTATCTCTTCCCTCCCTCTTTTTGTTTCCTCTTGTTTCAGATTAGATTGTAAAAGCTGTTTCTTACTGTGGGCTTGGCCTCGCATACTGGGAATGCCAATTCTGACTAGAACCTCTAATCATCACCACTGCTGTTCAAATAAATATAAGCTTTAATTACCAATCTGCCAAAGGCTTTTTTTGCATCCTAAAGTTCAATTGAAACAGCCAGTGTTTGCCACTGTAAAATTCCTCCACAGGAGATAAAGATGGTAAAGGCTCCACAGCTTCGTGTGCTTTTCTTTCTCTTGGGAAAGAAAGGAAGGACTATGTTGAGGGCAGGAAGGAGACAGGGCAAGAGAGTCATGGCACAGCAAGGGTCTTCTGTGGAGTTCCTAACAGGATAAGATCTCAAAGGGAATTCATGTCAGTTATGTTAAAGTTGCCAGCCTGGAGCTTTTACTTGTGCTGGAGCCATGTGTAAAGCATCAGAGACCTGTCTCCTCTGCAGCACAGCAAATTTCAGACAGCAGAAAATCAAATTCTGTGTTTATCACTTTTATTTTAGTACTGGTGAATTTCCTAGACTTGCTTTTACTAAGCATTTTAGAGACACATAAGAGACGGTTTTTACCCTATGGAACTCCATCAAATAAAAGGAATTTGGGGCTATCTTAACAGATTCATTCTTTTAAAAAAGTTAATATGGAAGAATAACAAAGGCAATGCAAGAAGAATGTTTTTGGAAGAGAGAACAATGAGAATCAACACTATTGACTCTCTCTCATTCAACAAGTCACCTTTTGCCACATAATACTGGTGACCCTTTCTGATAAGGAAATATTTCCACTTAAATACACTCCAATGTTCCCATTGAGTATGCTGTACTGTGTGTTAGCTGTGTAGCTGGAGCTCCCCGAATAATCTGTGAGGCATGCAGTTCTGTCAGTTTCTTTCATATAGCCAGTGCAAATGAACCTAGAAGAGGAGTGTTAAAATAACACTGACTTCTGATTTCTTCATTTTCACACCAGTCTGTAGCCAAAGCCTATTCCTTTACTCTCCTTACTGCCTCTGTGCTAGTCCATCACATGTACTGAGTGTGTGTGTGGGGGGGGGGGGAGAAAGGGAGCTACTTTAGATAGACAAGGATATTATGCTTAGCAAAATTTAACAACAAATCTACAAGCCTTTCCCCCTCACTCTCTGCCTCTTATGAATGCCACTATACTAATGCTTACCATGTCCTTTGCACACCTCCTAGGACAGGGGTGGATAAAAGCCTCTCAGCTGGCCAGATGTGGACTGCCTAGAGCTTTGATTCAGCCCGAGAGGCAGTTCCAGGCCCTGCCCCCTAGCTCTCTGGGAGCTGGAAATGTGCAAGCCCTTTTAACTGCTTGTATTTAAAGGTCTTGCATTTTCCCCATGCCTTGCCTAGCAGCGCCAGCGAAGGTGCAAGCTTCTTTAATAGAAGCAGTTGAAAGGGCTTGTGCATCTCCAGCTCCCTATCAATGTGCTAGCGATGCCAGAACTATGAGCCCTTTTAACTGCTTCTATTTAAAGGGCTTGTGCCTTCCCCATGTCTGTCGGGCAACATGTTGCCTGGCAGCCATGGGAACACGAAAGCCCTTTAAATAGAAACAATGAAAAGGGCTTGCAGCTCCCAGGACCTCTACTGCATTGCTAGGAAGCTGGGGGTGCACAAGCCCTTTCAACTGCTTCTATTAAAAGGCTCACGCCTGCTGGGTGGCTGCATTGCCTGACAGCCACCCGGCAGGCACAAGCCCTTTAAACAGAAACAATTAAAATGGCTTGCAGCTCTCGGTCCCAATCGCCCATTGCCTGGGAGCTGCCTGGGAGGTGCGGGCCCTTTTGACTGCTTCTGTTCAAAGGGCTTGTGCCTGCCAGGTGGATTCCAGGCAACAGGTTAGCAGCAGGGGCCGGGAACTGTGAGCTGTATTATGTAAATTCTAAGCCTCCTCCTCAGACATCTCTGGGACGAGGCTAGCCCCCAGCACCCTCCCATCCGCTTGAGATCCCTTCCATTGGCCAGAAGTCAGGGGGGAGGTCCCCAAGGCAAACAAAGCTCCCAATAGGATAGCTCTCAACCCAGCTTCTTCTGCCTGAGGCCCTGCCCCTTACAGGTCTGCCTGCAGCCACCTCTGAAATTTGTAAAATGGCCCTTCTTCAAAAATTATTGCACACTCCTGTCCCATTCAGATATGCTCTAAGGTGCACATTGAATCCCCACTCACCTTCACAGAACACCTTGGAGTCTCTGTCTCTGTTCATTTTATTATCTCCCTGGCCTAACTTTGGAATGAAAGCCCCTTGTCTCTCCATCCTTCTCCCAGTAAAGCAGTTTCTATTTGTAGAACTGAACTGTAACCACTAGGGGCAGATATGTCTCAGACCGTTCATAGAATGCTTAGGCACTGCCAATGAAACACTTGACCTGGATGTTTTTTGACATTATTTGTGGGTCATAATGTAGACACAGCTGACAGATTTATAGTCCCTGCAGACCAGCTTCCAAACTCTGCTCTGGCTCATCAGACTTATCTACTCTGGTTTCTCATCCAGCTGTTTCCTCTTGAAATGTTTTGCTTCCAGAGGTCCTGTGGTGTTGCAGCTGTCAGAGAAGAGAGGAGGGGAAAGCAAGTGAGAGAAAGGAGGGGAGAAATCTGGAAAGAAAAACAGGGGAAATGATTTTGGTGCAAAAAGGGAGAGAGAGATTTGAGAACAGATAGAGACCTAGAAGCTTCAGAGCAAAGAAGCATCAATTTGAAAGCAAATAACAATAAGACAGTTATGCGTCCCTAGATGCAGAAAGAAGGAAGAGCCTGGAAGAGAAAAGAAAATCTGGACTCTAAGATTAGTGAAAGAAATGAAACCCTTAGAGCAAAAGGAGACAGTCTCATAGCAATAATTTAATATCTTTCTCCTGTATTTACAATGACTGTGTGAGGCTGCAAAATATAATTTCTTTCTTACCAGTTTGTCCTTCATTCAGCAAATATTTTGTTTGGCTCCCTTGTGTTTGCTGATGCTGTCTCAAAGAGAAGCAATGTTGTCAGACCTGGAAACAATATTAAACAGATTAACTGATGCATCAGGGTGAACTTTCATTTTGTTTTTTGAGGGGATCACACTACACGGATGGTTATTGTCATTATGAGAGGGCAGATTTTTATAAGAAATGCTTACAAAATGGGACAAGTGTAATCAGCATATCCAGTTTTCATGTTAAGATTTATACGGTTGTATTCTCTGTAAGATTGATGCTAATCATTGCACAAATTCTGTCTAGTGCATATATGACTAATGAGGGTGAAATTTCCATTTGTTTGTCAATTAAACTCTGCATTGGGAGGAGTTACAGGGACTCATCAATACGGGGAGAAAAAATAATTATACAAGGTATTGTGATTACTGGAAATGGATACACATACCCTGACTGTTCATGTCACTGCCCAAACCAAAGTCAAAATCTCATTTAAAAATATATCTATCAGTGTGAAATGGGAAGTAAATTATCGAAGATGATGTGTTCTATACACCAAAGCTCATTCTTTTGGGTGCTAATGCAGATAACTGATTGTTAAAGAGTTGATAGATTTCTCCCTTTAGGGAACTAGAAAAAGTCTATCTTCAGATCTGTTAAGTACTACTGTACATGGGAACTCTAAGGCCTGGTCTACACTACTTCGGAAGTTCTAAGTAAGAGTCACTATTCCAGCTACACAAATTATATAGCTGGATTCAATGTATCTTCAATCCCTATTCAACTTCCTGATACGTGATGGGAGCAAACGCTTCCATCATCTTCCCTTATTCCTTGTGAGGAGCAGGAGTACCGGCATTAATGGGGGAGGGCGGCGCTCTGAGTTCAATTTAGCGGGTCTATAATACACCTGCTAAATCAACCACTGGAAGATTGACCATGCCGGTGTTGATCTTCCATGTAGTGTAGATGTGCCCTAAGATCAAAATTATCTTATAGTGCCAGGCAACATCATTGAATCCAAAAGCCTTATTTATAACATTAAAATGAAGTACAGAGGTTTGGTCGCAAATTAAAAATATGGGAAATGAAGGGGGAAATAAATGGCTGGTGCTCACAAACAGAATTAGTACAGATACAAGTATTTTTACAAAATGACCTCTGTACTATGCGCTGAAATGTGGGCTGTAGACTTCAGTTTCCATGTCAGAGTAATGTAATAAGAACCCAAAGAAAGGAGAAGACACAAAGATTGTACCACACCAACAAAGTGTGTCATCATAAGAACATAAGAATGGACATACTGGGTCAGACCAAAGGTCCATCCAGCTCAGTACCCTGTCTGCCAACAGTGGCCAATGCCAAGTGTCCCAGAGGAAATACATTGAATAGGTAATGATCAAGTGATCTCTCTCCTGCCATCCATCTCCATCCTCTGACAAACAGGCTAGGGACACCATTCCTTATCCATACTAGCTAATAGCCTTTAATGGACTTAACCTCTATGAATTTTTCTAGTTCTCTTTTAAACCCTGTTATAGTCCTAGCCTTCACAACCTCCTCAGGCAAGGAATTCCACAGATTGACTATGCGCTGTGTGAAGAAGAACTTCCTTTTATTTGTTTTAAACCTGCTGCCCAGTAGTTTCATTTGGTGGCCCCTAGTTCTCATCATTAAAACTGGTCAATTTTCTGTTGAAAATTATAATAAATGGAAAATGCAGTTCCTGCAGAATACAAATTTCTGCAAGAAAATTTGGATTTTGCTGAGTTTTTTTTATATATATATTCAGGCAGAAAAATGAATGTAAAATAATCCATTGGGGACAAATTTACCTCAATCAAAATATTTTGGTTTATTGAACTGAATCCAAGCATTTTATTTTTGGCCTTTTTGACATTAATCTGTGTCTGCTTAAGCTTCCACTGTGCACCATGTGATTTGTAGTTCAGGTTCTTCCTCTCCTTAGCTCCTCCATACAGCAAGCTCCTAGCTGGTCTACATCTGTTCTAATGTATTGTGGTCTGCTGCTGGATACAGCAGATGTAGTCAAAATGGAGGGCCAACCCATACTGGGGAATCGAAGCATGAAGTGCCATGGCAGCAAGGTGGATACAAATTAATTTTGAACTGAACCAAAACCCAAATGTTGTTCAATTTAATGGAAATATAACCTTTCAATTTGGGCATTTCAATACTAAATGTAGCAACTACATGAATTTTTTCTGAAGATTTCATTCTGTGAAAACAATATTTCAACTTTTTGTTCTGATTTTGGGATTAAAAACCAATTTCAGAAGTGTGCCATGGGATAGAAATTTTAATTTCTGACCAGCTCTAGTCATGATCTACTCTCCTCCAGACCACAAGACCCTGCTATTACTATCAGCTAGCAGACTTTTTTTTTTTTAAGTCTAAGTGGTAAAAGTCTTAGCTTTTGACATTCTATTCTATAAATCCTCTTCTACCACACTCATCACTCGAGTCTCTGAGGTACATTGTCTAGTGATGACCCATGGGATGGAATTGTTTCCAAATGATTTCTTGAAACCACTGTCATGACTATCACACTTACTGGTGGGGAGGAGGATGGGAAAGGAAGGTTATAGCCCAGAAGCTGGTAATCATCATCTCAGATCTTGTTTAAAATTTTAATAAGTGCTCTATTTTAACAACACCACAATATATTAGGGGTTTTGAATAATCAAAGCCATCAACTTAAAGTTCTGTAAGTCAAATTAATTCTCAGCAGAACTGGATATGTCATCTGAAAGCTTTCTCAATACTTCTCTCATTCTTCATTAAAGGAAGTGGTGTATTTTGTTTTTGAGAAACTGAACTAGATACATATAATCTAAAAAACTAGCTTCAAAAATACCTGGCTTCACACCATCAATTATTAGAAGCCTCAAAGTGTTCAGTCAACTACCTTCTTACAGGAGAAAACTCAGATTTTTGACTCATCCAAGAACAGAGATAGCCAGTAAATCTAGTTTCAATCTCAAAAGACTTATTTGCTAGCAGCAGGTTGATGATTTTTTTTTCCTGCCTAGAGCCCTCTAATCACCACTTAAAATTGGGGGTTATATCAGACATCATCTACAATTTTGCCTAGGCTGCTAATTAACATTACTTGAGTTATTTACTGAAACCATGAAGCAATGCACAGGTTTTTTAAACAGCAAGTGCAAAATGGAGATCAGTGTACAGATAATCAAATGGAAGGGAGGACATAAACATATAATATTCTCATTATGACCCCCAGATCAAAATGACTTTGCTACCCAATCTTTCCCATATGCGCTGTTTACCAAGAAACAGGCAGAGAAAATATTAAGGGACAAATGTGGTTGGATACTTTGTGGTACTGAGCCCTTGTACTCCTAATAAAGACAAGAGAAGGTGCAGAGATTCAGCTTCCCTGGAAATCCATTCCGAATTTCACCTCTTTTCCATTGTATTTTTCCCAAGGTTTATTTGAGTTGAATGAATGCCAATGCACTCTTTACTACTGTAGATTAGCGTCCACAACCACTTTTAGCCTTCCAGCTCTAACTGCATTCAGTATTTCTGAAGTTGTTTTGGCTCAAGAAGGTAGTAGCGAGTACGGAAGGTGGGGGGGGGCGAGCTTCTTTCTCTACATGTCAGAGCAAAGCTTTAAAGCTTCTGATACTAGATTCTGATCAGAAAACAAACAAATGTTTCTTAGATTTCCTGTCCCCATACTGTGAAGATCAAATTATTCCTGAGATACAGCAAGTTCGCAACATGAGCCAGCAATGTCTGCAAAACCCTAGCAGAAGCATTTTAATATCTTGAGGTTAGTTCCTCTATATTAATGTAAAATGCAATTAACTAGAACAAATATTAAAGGGGAAATGTTAACTGTTAAGTAAAATGGACAATATATTACATATGTATATAACAATAAGAGGGGGATTTTTCCCTCCATCTCATACTTTTTATATAAAAGCATTTTGTAAGTGGAATAATATATGTTTAAAATATAGAATAATATAAAATTTATAATTGAAGTTAGTGTTCAAAACTATTGCCCAATAGGTGAAAAATGCCATCATGTTGGGGATTTATTTATCATCTTAGAGCATTATTTAGCCCTTCAGAGCTCATTTGAAGAAGTGGGGTTTGCCCACGAAAGCTCATGATACTATCTATATCTATATGTTATACTCTCTCTCTTTGTGTGTGTGTGTGTGTGTGTGTGTGTGTGTGTGTGTGTGTGTGTGTGTGTGTGTGTGTGTATAAAATGTATGTTAGAGTGCGTCTACACAGCAGGGCTTAACTCAAAATAAGCTATGTAAATTGAGCTATATCAATTGTGTAGATTATTTTGAAATAAGCACTTATTTCAAAATAGAGCACTTTTCCTCCAACTTCACTTACTCTTCATACAATGAGGATTACAGGAGTAGGAGTAAGAAGTCCTCCAGCTTGACAGTATCTCGACATTATTTTGAAATAACTGCTGGCTGTGTAGACACGGAACAAGTTATTTCAAAATAACAGGCTGGTTATTTCAAAATCTGTGCTCCTGCTTTCCTCATGGAATAAGCTTATTTCAGAATAGTTATTTTGGGAGTTATTATTTCAAATTTAGTTATTTTGAAATAATTTTCTAGTGTAGATATGCCCTAATGTGCCATAGGACTACCCGTTGTTTTTAAAATTGCAGACTAACACAGCTATACCTCTGAGACTTTTAGCCCTTTGGGTTAACCACCACTTGTCCCTGAATTTGGAACCTTATAAATCTCTTCTCTAATTTCTAGCAAGAAGCTATCCTTTCCTTTAAAGATACCTTTCACATTTTACCAATCTAAACATTAGAAATGGTGATTGCCTTTTATGGCTGGTCCCTTCTGTTTCCTCCCAGCGTTCTCCCTTTAGTGCCATGAAATCCATGAACCTAGTTACCCAATTTTGATAGAGAAAACATTTACAGCCAATGATTCTGCAACAATTTGTATAGTGGTGGCGGGGGGAGATTCTGAGAGTCAAGAGGTGCTACCACACCCCAACTTTCAGCACTAGTGTTTTAAAACTCAGGTCGTTGCCATTGATCTGGGGGCTACAGATCCTTTATGGATTCAGGACTGAGCAACCAGTGTATCCTGTAGCCAAACAGTGGCCTCATTTGCATGGCTTACAGCATAGACTAGTGCATTGAATTGTAAGAGATGGGCCCCATCTGCACCTTAACAGTCCATGTGCAGGAAGAGAGAAATATAGTAGAGTCCACTCTGGTGGTAGGTGGCAGAGTCCACTCTGGCACAGGGAGCAAAATAGTCTTTTGTTTTCCCAGACCTCTTTAAATTTATGTTTAAGGGTAATTGAATGATTCTTCATATATTTTAACTGTATAATGCTATGTACCTGGCTAGCAGGCTCTGTCTGTCTCTCAGCTTTCTGTGAAACTCTTGCAGTTTGAGACTGATGCTCTGCTCTGGGTCTAATCCAGAGGCTATTGGAGTTATTGGAAATCCTCCTGTTGGGGGAGCTTTGAATGGAGCTCGCTGGGCATCATGGCACATGAGCTAAAAGAGTAATAGAAGGGAGCAATGTTCAATAGTATTTCCTAGGAACATCTTCTGAGCCAGGATTCTTTACATCACTCTTTAAATAAGAAAAGAGTTTAATTCTAATCCAGAGTATAAAGATGAATTCCCACTTCAATGAACTTTACTGGGATGCATGTGAATGCAAAGGCTTAGCATTTGGCAGGCTATCTCCTCCATTTTTTTCAGCCTAACACTAATGAGTTTGATATTAGCATAATATAACTACTACATTTCATTCCTAACCTGAATAATTAAAAATAAAAAACAATGTGAAATAGCTTGAAATGCAATCTGCCCGGACTTCAGCTGTTGGGAGCTAATCTGTCTTGGCAAACTGAATTAAATACCACAGTGCTGAATACATTGGCCCTGACTGTGCTGTCAGATGTGCAGGGTGTAGCAGTAAGGAAATGTGGTGGGGGGGGAGTAAATTCCAAACTCAAGGGCACTTGACCTGCAAACAAAACAGGCTGCCTGTGTGTGTGTGTGTGTGTGTCACACACACACACACACACACACACACACAAGCTAGACTGTGTTGCTGTGGGTTGCAGCTTCATGCAGAAGGGACACTAATAAAAACAGGCCATGGTATCCAGAAGAAAAATCCGTGGAAAGAGGGCATGGCCACAACATCCAACCCAGCATGGCACGCTCCCACAGCTAAGGTATCCATGTCATTGGTTCAGTACAGTAAATGGAATGCTAAACTGTTTAATTCTCCTTATTAATTGTGTATAACTTTTCCTGAACCCATTGGAAGGTCACTTGACAGTATTTCATACATCACACTGGAGATGTATAATTGAGAGAGAGAGAGAAATTCATAATAGGTCAATGATGTGCTCATGAGTCTAGCAAGTGTGTCTGGTACAAGGCCCTTAGTCCTCCGACCCTTAGGCACCACCATCATAGTGAAAAATACAAATATCAAAGTATGCTATTAGAATTCTGTTCTTGCCCAGCAGGCAGTGTCTGCTGTACAGTTATGGGGTCATTATAACAAAATCCATCTATTATATTAGGTGGTGTAGCAGTGCAAAGGATCAGTTGCACATTAACGGTGTTAATTGTCAATGATTATATCACTGTTCCACAACATTAGAGCTGCTCTAAAGTTTTCTGTTTGCTAACAGTGCACATTAGTGTCGCAAAAGCGCCACACTCTCATGAATTCTCTTAGGCAGGTAATATTTTTCTATGCAGTCTGAAGTAACATGATTTAACCTGTTGTTTACAGCATTAGGGAGAAGTATATATGCATGAATTATTATAAGCTGTAGAGTCTCATTCTGTTTTTCATGCAGAAAGAATGAAGTTCTGAGATCTGAAAAATGCCAATAAGAGGTTTTCTTCATCTGCCCTTATGAAATACCTTGCTGAAAAGTTATTTTGATTTAAAAAGTGATGAACCTATAAGGATGAAATAATGTAAAAATTGTCCTGCATCCCTTATAGAAACTAATGCCCCACGCACATACACAAGCATAACGCTCTCTCTCCTGGCACTTTGGCCTCTTTCAGCCACAAATACCATATTCAGAAGTCTCCCTAACCCATAAAGATTACACAAGGAGTCCTTCATCCATTTATCTGACTTCAGCCAATACTCCATCTCACGGGCTCCAACAACCCCTGAATCAACCAGTAAGCTGCACATCTTTTTCCAAAAGATTCTGTTCTATTCTCCTCCATGAAAATTAACTGATATCTCTAACTCCTGCCTCCCTGAAATGTTCTCCCAGTCCCCTTTAACTCTTCCTCCTGCACTAACTCATCTTCAGATTTTTCCAAAAACCTTGAAGATCAGGGTTAAGCAGGTGTACCAGCATAGGCCAGGTATCCAAACTGTGGCTGCTTTCACACCCAGTGTGCTGTCACAACACATAAAGTAACAACTTTGCCATGGCTTTGGTGTTTGAATTCCATGTCTGTTCTTTAGGGTAACCTTCATCAGATTAGGAAGGAGGTTTTCCAAGGTTTAAATAGCAGATTAAAGTCAAACTTCCAGAGGCTTTCAATAAGAGTTCGGTGCCTACCTATTCTGTGCTCTTGAAAATCTTCCCTTATCTCTAAACCAAAGCCACAAAAGTTTTTTTTATTTTAAAAGTATTTATAGATATCCAAAATTAAGCCTTATATAGATAAACAGTTGAAATCATTTGCACTCTGTAGTGAAATATGCCCTAGAGTGCATTATGCACTAAAACCCAGAGCATGCTTAATGCAGCAATAGTCAAAGGCCTTTCTGATTTACTGCCAGATGTGTTGGACCCTTGAGAATTTTCAAATGCAGGGAGGTCTGAAAGGAGAAATTTCTGAGGAAGAATAGAGAAGACTAATGAGGGACCCAGATGTGGCATTTTTC